GTCGTCATGTGACAAACCAGTTTCATCAGAGTCCATGATTCTACATGTTTGTCACATGATCCTGTTACATACAGGAATAGTTTTTTTTACCTGATGATGTCACCTTCTCCACAAACACCTGTCATCACACACCCAGATCCACTCGATGAAATCAAGTGGCTCATTAATCATCAATCACTAATTAAGAAACAGCATCTTCCTGCAGACGGCTGAGTCAGAGCTTAATCAACACGCTGGGTCTCTTCCCGCTTCCAGCGGCGGCGCGGCGCCCCCTGTTGACACCATCACCAATAACACACAACACGTGCGGTGTGTATGAAATCACATTTTAACTTTATTATTTATCTCTTTGATAAACGGCTACAAACAGACGTTTCGGCTGTCATTCATTCAGTGATTACACACAGACGTTTACATTCTCACCGACCAACCAGGAAGTAACTCAGCACAACCGTCACCTGATCTTAGTCATCTCCTGAGAGGGAAACTGTCGACTGAAATCTGCTGTGGTTAACACACACACACACACACACACACACACACACACACACACACACACACACACACACACACACACACACACACACACACACGTCTGACATCAGAGCTGTACGAGTGTTTTATATTTTTACTCTTTGATCTCTGGAGTCAGAGGATTTCAGCCGCTCATCAACTACAACAGATTCGACATGAATGTTTCCCATCATCTCTGAATGAGGTTAACTCCACCCGTGTGGCACTGAGGTGACATAAATCTGTAGTGTTTGGAAGCAGGACTCGGGTCAGACGGTGCAGAAACCCGTCTCTGCCCGTCATGACCCGTCTGCTCGGCTGAAACCAGGAACTGGGACAGGAAACAAACCTTCACCTCGGCTCACTGACTCGCACCTGGTGGATCGATCAGTGACTCTTGGTCCTGGTCTCAGGTGACCCTGATCGACCCATCAGGTGAGTCAGGTGTGTTCACCTGCTGAAAACAACTGGTTTATGCTAAGCTAACTGCTAAAGCAGGAGGAGCTGAACACACATGGACAGAGCAATTGGAGCTGCGACGATGAGCCGATTAATCGATTTACAGATTGTTAATTGGCAAACAGTTTGGATCATCGTTAGTAACTTTTTAGGGAAATATTTTTCAGGTATTTTTCACTGTTTTACAAAATGATTAATTTAAAAACTTAATATTTGTTGCATTTAAACAAATAAGACTCTAAATTAATTTCTGCTCTGAGACGTAACATTCATCCAGATTCAGACAAAACACGAGAGAACTGAAGGAGAATCACTTTCATCATAATCTGCCAGTTGTGAGAGAAACAATAATAATAATAATAATAATTATAATAATAATTCTCACTCCTACAAAGTAGTTGTTGTCATTAATGTCAAACTCTGGACGTTCAGCTGTGAACCAGGATGTGACACCAACACACAGAGAAGTTGATTTAATTTGAGTTAAAAATGGGAGAAAATAAACTGTAGTGAAGTGAGGAGGAGAGTGAGGAGGAGAGTGAGGAGGAGAGTGAGGAGGTGAGTGAGGAGGAGAGTGAGGAGGAGAGTGAGGAAGAGAGTGAGGAGGTGCACATTCCTACAACAGCAGAAGAAGAGCGCCCTCTGCTGGACAAACACCAGAGAAACAGGATTTTAACGCGAGTAAAACATCAGTTTAAACACTGAAGGAACGTTTTAAAATCTGCTCCTCGTTTTATTTTGGGATGATTTGAGATGAGAAGAAGTTTGTTTTGCTGCTGCGTCGTTGTCTTTAGAGGCAGGAAGAGCAACAACTCATTAACTAGTTGGACTGATACGAGTTTGTTCATAATGATGTTTCAGTAGGAATAAGACTTGGAGCTGTGGGAGTCGGCCTCCTGTGATGATCTGTTTTTAGAAGTTGTAACATCCTCAAATATCTCACAAGCTGCTGCAGATGTTTTTCCAACATGACAAAAAGAAAGAAAGGAGTAAAACACTGTCCATCAGCCCCCCCCACCCCCTCCCCCACCACCTGGATTAAATGATAAGAAAAGAAGTGAACACAGTGCAAACCTTCTGATGAGGAGCCACGCAGAGAACAGACATGAAAACACTCACCACTGCTGATAGAAAAGAGGAAAGTCCTAAAACCTGGAACTAATTAAACTCATGTTGTCGTCAGCCTCTGATCCGTCACCGCACTTTGACAGTTTCAGCATTTTCCCGCCTCTCGGGGTGAATTTAAAACGACATTACAGGACTCCGGTTCCCCTGATGCGGTGGTCTCCAGGGTTCATCGTGGCAGACTCTGCTGTGACTGTGAACCTGGTGCAGGTCTCTCTCCCTCCTCCACCGCCTCCGTAATCCATCATGGCCGCCGCTCGCAGACGGGACACAGGCGCTCCTGGGAATGTTTTTGTCGTGGACGTTTTCCACCGGCGCAGAGCGAACAGTCTCACAGAGAGGAGGGAGGGGTGAAGCGTCCAAGGCTTTTATTGTTTGTTTCTCACCCCGCTCTTCTTCTTCATTTCTTCTTCTTCTTCTTCTCGGTTATTTCTGCAGCTCCTGCGGCGCGCTGAAGGTCTCGTAGACGTTGGCTGCAAACTCCTTCACCTGGTCGTTGAGCAGCAGATCCTGTGAGACCGACACAGAGAAGTAAAGACTGATTCATATTTATTCTGCTTCCGTGCACCAAACTGCTTTTATTGTTGAAATTACAACATTAACTTCCTGCTATTTTGTGTTCTACACTGGAAGAAAGTCTGTTTTAGGAATCAGCCGTCAGGTTTTATTTTCACTGATGAAAACCATCTTTCATGATGAATCTGTTTGTAACTGAACGTGTTCGATTGTGATTCAACAAACAGAGAGAGAGAGACACAGTCGACTTCCTGTTCCCAGAAGAACATGAGCGACGCGGTGGCCGGAGCCGAGAGCAGGTCTGTTGATTTTACCTGAACAAAGTGACTCGGAGTTTCACTGCAGATGGTGTTGATCTGACCGTTGATGATGGGGATGATCTTCGCCAGCGGCAGACTGACCGCAGACAGACTGGACACACACACACACACACACACACACACACACACACACACACACACACACACAGAGTCATTCCAGCTTCCTTCTTCAGAATAATTTTCCAACAATAAAGTTACAAAAAATGTCTGATGTCTGACAGATATATATATAATATATATAAAATAGTGAAACATCAATCAATCAAAAATCAATACTGTATGTAACTTCCTAAACAAGTTTTCAGTACATAATGTAAATATCTTCCGTGTTGACACTAAATATTCTTGAACTTCAAGTTTTCTTCTTTAGTTTCTTCATTATTTTCTACAAAAACACAAATCAACAAGCTGTGGTTCACCGAGCTGCGGGCCGCCGCCCTCTGGTGGGCCATGAAGGGAGTGTAAGTGGGCCACAAATCATTTGCAAAACAGAACGACTTTGGTGAAAAGATAAAATTTTAAAAATATAAATAATGTTTTCAAATGTTTTAAAATTAAATCTTTAAAAACAGTAAAAATGCCACTGGTTTTTTTTCCTGGTACTGAGGCCCATCACTGGGATAATCCAATGAGCTTTTATGTTGTCGCCGGCAACAAGAAGCGTTAAAAGGAAAGAGACAGGTGATCTAAAATAAGAAGTGCAGAAGAAGAAGAAAACATCATTCCGCCTCTATATTGTTACGGGTCGGGTGGAAGAGGTTGGATGCTGGGACACGCTGCAGGTGTCGTTCAGACGGCTCACCTGTCAGGTGCACAGCTGGGGGCGGAGTCTCCAGGAGGCGGGCGGAAGAACTCGGCCAGGTTGTCAAGGAGACGGGAGAAACCGCGGTTCAGACAGGCGTTCAGGACAGTGGTGAAGTCTGGACTGCAGTCACAAACACACGACGCCACAGTCAGACAGTTCACACAGGTAAACACGCACAGGTGACGTGAGGACGGCGCTCACCTGTCCAACATGTCTCTGGTCTCGTTCAGCAGTCTGATGGTCATGCGGTCGTTCTCCGTCAGCCCACACGCCTGCACAGAGGAGAACACGTGTTACACACCCAGCTGCAGCTTTATCACACGCCGCTGTCGACCGTGCTCTCTGCGCCGTCACCTGGTCGGCGAGCGCGTTCTCGTCGTCGGCGAGCATGAACCAGGAGAGCGAGCGCTGCGAGCCGGCCTCCACCTCCGCCCTGATCCAGCTCAGCTGCTGCTCCAGCTCCAGCAGGGACAGACTCTGCTTCAGAGACAGGCTGCAGAGACACGAGGTCACGTGTCAACAGTTCATACAGACGTATCGTACAGAGACACAGACAGAAAGTCTCATTCTTTGGTTCCAGCTTCTCAAATTTGAGGATCTGTCGTTTTTTTCTGTTTCATATGATGATAAATTAAATATATTTGGCTTTCTGTTGGTCGAACTAATTTCTGAAACTCTGGGAACTGAAGATGCACATTTAGAACTGACACGGATCATGATGTTGAGACACTCACCCTCCCAGTGAGTTCTGCACGGCTTTCTTCACCAGCGTCATCAGCTCTGCCAAACCTGAACAGAGACAGACAGAGGGAATAGATAATGAACGAATGACTGAATCTAAAAGTTTAGATGTAACACTGTCTGTATGTTTTACAGCCTGATAGATACAACACTGTGTAAACTCTTCTTGTTCTTTATCCATCAAACCAGCAAATAAATGAGAAAGTCAGACGACTTTTAATGAATGACATAATAAACCAGGATGACGTGCAGGGATCACAGAGCAGCCTACCATCTCCTAACAGATGCTGGATACTGGACAGGTACTGCTGCTGGACGTCCGGGGGAGCGAGAGCAGTCTGCAAGAGGAACACACACACACACACACACACACACACACACACACACACACACACGTAAATAAACATGAACTATCTTCTCAGATTTTCGGTTTTCCACAGTAAACCAAACACAAAGACACATCAGATTCACTGCATCAGAGTCAAGTGTGAACAGAAGCTTAAATTTTCTGTCTCTGGACAAGATCAGGAAGTGACATCACAAGACAAACACAGGAGGTCAACTTCACATCACCTGACAGGTATTTCACATAAAAATGCACAAGGTAACTGTAAGAAAAATGAAACACACACACACACACGTTACAGCTGTACGTGTGAAAGCAGCTCATGGAGACATCATGGAGCTCCTCACCGTTCCGTTCTTTCCTACAGAGTTGTCCAGGTACAGATATCCTCCGATGATGTTCAGCTGGACTCTCAGCAAAACCACCAGCATGCAGGTGCTGTACACGGCAACGATGGTGCGAGTGAAACCTGAACGACGCAACACGGTTTTAAGATCAAATAAAGTTTTTAATCCTTCTCTCTCAGTACAGACAAGTCATTAGGTTTGACTTGAGCACTGAGTTTACAGATGATGTCTGACGGGAGGAACTGAACTTACTGATGATCTTTAAATCTTCCCAGATCTCCAGTTTATTGGCTGGTCTGTGAGACGACGGGAAAGAAGAAAAAGCAGCGTTAATGTTGGTTCTACATCATCCAGACTGAGTCTCACAGCACACACCCAGTACTGGAATACTTCAACATCAAGAAGGTGATAAAGTGGCATATTTGTGTAAAAATAGTGACGGTATAAATGAACTCCATACAGTCTAATGCGAATGTGTAGAACTGTGTGTGTAAGTGGGTTGGAAACAGATTGAATCCATTGATTCTGACAGTAACAGACTCTTCCTCTCACTTGGTCTTGAGTAGTGCAGTGAGACTCTCTGAGTTCAGTTGATTGACGATGGCTTCTTTCAGTGGAGGGAGCATGGACAGCACTGTGACACACAAACATTCAAATCATAAACGTTTACTCTCGAGATGCGCTAAATTTACCTTCTAGGAGATTATAACTCAGGTGCGTGAAGAGGTTACCTGTCATGTTGCACGTCCTCTGGTTGCTTTCAAAGTGGAACTGCCTTCTTGCCTGAGCGATGTACTCCGTCGCCTCCTTCTCCTGGAGCTCCCTGATCTTCTTCTGGGCATATTTACCCAGGAAGTACACACCTGGGGATCACAGACAAACAAGAAGTAGAAGGAATTAAAACCAAGCACAGGAAATAAATAATAAAACTTCGAGACAAATCTGAATTACTAATAAAGTCACCAAAGAATTTGCAGTGTTTCAGAATAGAATCTGCAAACAATATACATTTTAGTAGCACACTTACATTATGATTATTTCATGCAAAAAATACTCTGAACGCCAAAATCAATTCCCTTCTTAAATCTTTCAAAGGCCTAACATATATTTAACAAATCCACAAACTTTCATTGCATATTGATTGACGATTTACAATCATTAAAAAAATAATTAGCAATTTAGAAAAGACATAGTTTCTATAAAGCCTCATTAGATAAATCAAACACTAACTGCTCAGCAGTTCAGTTAGAGCCAGTGTTTACTTGTAGTACTTCAACCTCGCCCTGCATTAAAGCAGCTTAGTGATAACTTAAAATGCTAACAATTAGCATCCATAAGTGCTGCTCTCATGCTGGGAACGTTACGCCAAACTCCATTCAACTTTCTGGAGATTTAAAGATGCCTTGCTCATAAGCAAACGCCTCAAACAAAATGTAAATAAACACGTTCACTGAATCGTTGCAAGTCATATTTAAAGTCGGTATAAAAACAACTTTATATACAATATTAATTTTGGTAAAATGTAACTTTTGTCATCTGGTCTTGCCACGGTTATTTTCCAATAAAATACACCCTGTAGACGGTTGACACCAGTAGATGTTGGAAATTCTGCTGCTTGGTGGAAACAATATGAACCGAATTAAAAAAAACAACCACTTTGATTCTTAAATATAGTTAAAATATATTTTAAGAGACACGTACTTTGACTTTTAAGTATAAACACATGCTATTTCAGGATTATTTAACGTACTCTGGCGTTCTGCTACAGTCTGCTATTAGCACAGTAGCTAACAAGAACAGCAGTTACCTCCAACTACAGCTCCGGCGAAAATAAATTTCCTTTTGTGGCGTTTAACAAAATTCCAGGCAGACGAAAACATCTTCGGACAGAGAAAAGTTCACGAACTAAACCACTAAAAACTCTCCGTACTCTTGACTTCGTGCGGACTATTTTACGGACATGTTAGCTGAAGAGTTTCGGCTGGCTAACATACCGCTGCTAACATGCTAGGTGTCAAAAAAGTGCCCCGATCAAAGTAAGCAGCGTAAATAATACAAGTTCCGGTTGTGAATTTCAAAATAAAACTCGGATTGACCTAAAATATAAGATGGTCGACCCTCAGTCATTTTGAATGAAATGTTTTTCAGAGAAATACAGGTTATAGTAAAATAAAATGTTACTACTAAATAACAGAGACATACTTATAAATGCTTCAGTAGATACGTTTCACCTGTAAATTTAAATCCAAATTTTGTCAAACTAAAACAATCGTCAAAAATTACGGTTTTATTTTGTTGGTAATATTCCCTCACATCCGGTCTACATCTAGTCCGCTGTAATCAACTTGACGCATCGAAAACATCGGCACGCTGCCGTCTAGATCTACTGCGCATGTCTGGAAGTGGTCCGTCCAATATTATCTTCCCCCTCCCGTGTGAATGCGTGGTGGTACGTACGTCGCTGAAAGTGACTAAAATGAGCAGATAAAGTACAAACTCATCGTAATGGGACTGATATGAGTTTTATTGAAGTTAGGTAGTAGTAGTAGTTGCCATGGAAACGCAGGGAGAAATTAAAGCTACGTCAGCGGAGAGCTTTTACCCGCGTGATGAAGACATTGAGAAATGGATGGCCAACGCATTTGATATGGTGGGAACATTTTTATCAGATATCTTTAACTTCATATAAAAACCAAAATACGTGTAAAAGAGACATTTTTTCTGCCACATCTTAAACCAGTTTCTAATGTCGAAACAAGTGGAGAGAAATGTTTTAAAGTGTCTTTAAAATTCATAACAAAATATTTGTCTAAAATATTTTCGTCATCAACATCATGACGCATCAGTGAGTGTGTTTACATGTGCACCAGCGTCCTGGTTTTATCGCAGTAATCCCAGTTACAGAAACCCGGATATGCAACATGGAGAAGTCAAATAGAAACCAGGATCCTGAGGCCTGTCAACACCTGATCCTGGTTTCTGAACCTTCACAGACACTTTCATAGACAATCACACACCTGGACACTGGTAGAAACATGTAACCAGGAATATAAATAAACGTAAACACAATCAGTGGTAATAACGTGTGAATGTGTTGCTGCAGGCCAAAGACGCTCTGGAGAATGGCGAGGTGCCCGTTGGATGTCTGATGGTCTACAATGATGAAGTCGTGGGCAGAGGAAGGAATGAGGTCAACGAGACCAAAAATGTAGGAAAACTGAAGAGTGTGTTGTTTCTGTATAAAAATAAAAATACCGGTTGTTTTCCTGTTTTTATGTCCGAGAAAACTTGAGATGCAGAAATAATTTTTTTTCCCCTCATGTCATAAAAACACAAGCGTGTATCGTCTCCAAACACACAGCAGCTACTGCAACATTTAGGCTTACAAATCTAGGGCAGTTTTATTGATATTGCACATTTAATTAAAGGTAAAATCAATGAGTTAGTATTTCATCGTACCCAGTAAAATCCCTGGTTGCAGGAGCCGTCACCTCTTAAATCTTTCAATTTTCTCATGGAGTTTGGTATGAGGTGGAAAACACGACACCTAAGCTTGACATATGTTTCTCTGCGTGTGACGTGTGTTTGGGTTTTTCCAGGCGACTCGTCACGCTGAGATGGTCGCTCTGGACCAGCTCCTGGACCGGTGTCGCCATAGCAACCTAGATGTAAGGAGTGTGTGCGAGCGAACCGCCCTGTATGTCACCGTGGAGCCGTGCATCATGTGCGCAGCAGCCCTACGCCTGCTCAGTATCCTCCCGGCCCTCTGTGTGTGTGTGTGTGTGTGTGTGTGTGTGTGTGTGTGTGTGTGTGTGTGTGTGTGTGTGTGTGTGGATCATTGTTCCTTCACTTCCTGTCAGACATCCCCGTGGTCGTGTACGGCTGCAGGAACGAGCGGTTCGGAGGCTGCGGTTCGGTTCTGGATGTTTCCTCTGCAGACTTACCTCAGACTGGGAACACGTTCAAGGTGTGTTTGTCCCTGGTGTGTTTTTATCTTTTTATTTGTGTGTGTGTTGTTGTTGTTGTATGGTTAACTGTCACATATGGATGTAATGTTTGAGTGTTCACACACTGCTGTGTGTTCAGTGTGTTTCAGGTCACAGAGCACAGGAAGCTGTAGAGATGCTGAAGACTTTCTACAAACAGGAGAATCCAAACGGTGAGTAGAAACTATCTCTTCTTCTTCTTCTTCTCTTCTTTCTTTTCTTCCTTTTTTCTCAACTTTTCTGTTTTCTTCTTCTGTCTCTTTCTTCTCATCTCTCCTCATCTTATTTAACCTTGTCTTGTATTTTGTCCTTTTTGTTTCTTGTTTGTGATCTTTTCTTTCCTCTTCTTCATTAATCACATCTTTTCATCTTTTCTTCTCCTTCATCATCCTGTCATTTTCAGATGTTTATTTTTTACTTTTACCTTTTTTTTCTCATTTTCTTCACATTTCTTAACCATTTAATCTTTTTTTCCTCTGTATAACTTTATCCTCGTTTTATTTTCCTCCTTTTCCTTTCTCCTTTCTCCTTGTTCCTCTCTTCTCTAACATTCTTATTCTTTCTCTGTTTCAGCCCCAAAACCTAAAACAAGGAAGGACTGACATTTTCCACGAGTTGTTGATTTACTTTTTTATATATTGTTTGTCTTTACCTTTTCATATTTGCTGTAATGTAATAAATGATGTTATAACTGGTGTGTTGTGTGTTGTGTTCAGACCTCCGCCTGCAGGGGGAGCTGCAGGTCAAATAACTTCAACGTTCACACAGGAGAAATTAAACTCCTCACTTTCAACTAAATATCAGCTTTTCAGGAACAACAGCACGATTTGATTTCCTACAGACGAGAAGAATTAAAAATAAAATTTAAAATATGAAGATGATGAACATCCAGACACGATCGTGTTGTTTCTGTGTCCTCGTCGATCTCTGCTGTTTAGAACCACGGGTTCTTTCTTCAAGTTTCTTCTCCATCTGTAACTGTAAAGCACACCGCACCACTTCCTGTCACGTGTCTGAGAATGACACACAACAAGGAAGAGTGTGTGTGTGTTTGTGTGTGTGTGCGCGTGCCTCTACAGGAGTGACCTCATGTAACACAGACGCTGACAAAATTCGGATCTGTTTCACTTCCTCTCAGACACACACACATGTACTGTGGTGTGGTGTGTGTGTGTTTGTGTTCGCTGCAGCTCGCAAGAGTTGAGAACTGAATGTGTGTATAGATACATATATAGATACATATATAGATACATATATATATATGTTTGTGTGTGTTTCAGACGTCCTGCTTTTTCAGACAAAGCGATGGAGAGATTTTAAACTCTTTCACACCCCCTCGTCTCCTTCCATCCTTTCAGCATCTGACAACTTCCTTCCTTCTTCCACCGCTTCCTTCCTTCCTTCCTCCACTGTTTCCTTCCTTCCTTTGTTCATTTCTCACTTTGTCTCCTTACCTTCCTTGTTTCCGTTTACATTGTTTTTCATTTTTTACTTCCTTGTTTCCTCCTTTCATATTGTTGCTGTACAACTTCCTTCACCCTTTTCTACCACCTTTATCTTTTCTTCTTCATCCCTTTCTATCTTTCAGTGACATATTATACCGCCCCCCCTTTTTTGTTCCTGCTTAATTCCTTCCTTCATTTATCACCTTCTTTCCCTCTTTCCACTTTTTTTTTTTTTTTTTACACCTCCCCGTTTCCTTTCTGGTTTTGTTCTTTGTTCCTGTTTCGTTTTCTCACCTTTTCTTCCCTCTTTCATTTCTCCTCTCCTTTTTTAAACCCTTTTTCTACTTCTTTTCTTCAAATCCTTCCTTCAATGGACGACCATGTTTTTTTTCTTTCACACCATTCCTTCCTGTCTTCCTCCTCCTATTGTTTCTTCCTTCCTTTTTCATATGTCCTTCCATATTTCCTTTATACATCACTTTCTTCCTTTTCTACCTTCCTTTGTTCTTTTCCCTTCCTTCCTTCCTTCCTTCACATCAGTTCCCTGCTTGAACCCTTTTGCTTGTTCCTTGTTGTAAACTTCATCTTCACAGACACGTTCAGAGCTTCACAAGTCAACATGAGTTCCTCACACGTGAATACATGTCACTGTGTCACACACACACACGGTTACATCACTAATGAAAGTGTGTTGTGTGTGTTTTTTGTTTTTTTTGGTGCCGCTCCTCTTTGCTCGTTAGCATGTAAATTTATGCTAATTAATGCAGAGTAGAACATTCCTGAATGTTTTAATGTGTCACCTCATAGTGGAGGAGTTGACGTGTTAATGAAGAGACGACACACACACACACACACACAGCAGTGCAGAATTAGCTGTTAAGCGCTAATGAACAGTGTGTGTTGTGTCAAGCTCTCCTCTCCAAACTGACACACACACACACACACACACACACACACTCTGTGGGACACGCTGGAAAGCGGTGTAACGTCACATGTCACGTTGTGTGTGGCTGAGAGAACAACAGTGTTGAAACAAGTTCTTCTTCTTGTGTTTTCATCAGGGAAGCGTTTGTTTGCGTTGCAGGAGGAAGCAGACGGGAGGAGTCTGGTTTGTCTTGTCTTGACAGGAAGTGTTGCGTTGACATGTTTTTTTTTGGTTTCACTGTTAACCTTTACAGTCCAACTCTGTCATCGCTGGGGGAGGAGTGTGTTTCTTCTTTTGTTGTATTCAGTCTGTCTTGTATGAATCTGTTAATGAATCTTTATTATTTAGTTTTTTCCGTCACTTTTTGTCCCTTTGTCCGACCCACATCCTTTACTCTCTGTTTCTCTTTCATCAGCTTTTCTTTTTCTTCATGTGTTTGTTTTAAACGTAGAGAGTGAAATCATATTTAAAGCCTCCACATCTGCACAACACTTTGTTTTATTCACACAGGAGAGCGGCGTGTTCGATTCCTGTGTGAAACCAACTGTTAATGTTGTTACCATGACAACAAAGATCGTCAAAGATGTTGAGCAAGTAACTAATTTTAACCCACGATCTTTTCCTGAACCTAACCAAGCCATGACTGTTATAATAGTAACCATGGCGACGAAGGTGGGTAACGCCGCTCTCCATAACGGTCTGTGTGTTTATTATTGTAACCATGATAACCAAGGTCCGGTACAGGTGACACTCTTTCGGGAGACGCTCCTGTGGGTTGAATCAGAGGCTTAGGGTTCAGGTTTGAGGACTGGTTGTGTTTTTTTTTTTTTTTTAAACCAGACCAGACCAGACCAGACCAGACCAGACCAGACCAGACCAGACCAGAACAGACCAGACCAGACCAGACCAGAACAGACCAGAACAGACCAGAACAGACCAGAACAGAACAGACCAGACCAGACCAGAACAGACCAGAACAGACCAGACCAGACCAGACCAGAACAGACCAGAACAGACCAGAACAGACCAGAACAGACCAGACCAGACCAGACCAGACCAGAACAGACCAGACCAGACCAGACTAGACCAGAACAGACCAGACCAGACCAGACCAGAACAGACCAGAACAGACCAGAACAGAACAGACCAGACAAGACCAGAGACAGAATGATTCTCCACTCAGACTTTATTAATGTTTGTACTGACATACATGTACCTGTAGTGACCCAGAGGATGAGTAATAATCAGTAATAATCAGTAATAATCAGTAATAATCAGTAATAATCAGTAATAATCATGATCAACACATTACTGATGTTGAGTTTCTCAGTAGCTCATGAAGGAATTCATTCACTTTGTTAAATAGTTCATATTACAAACACTGTTTCTGTGTGTGTGTGTGTGTGTGTGTGTGTGTGTGTGTGTTTACCGTCCTCAACGTAACAAAGCAGAAAAAAAAAAAGGTTTCAAGCTTCATCTGTTGTTTTTTCCTTATTTACATTAAGCTGATGATGATTCTGTTATTTTTAGAGTTGTCGTCATGGATACAGTTCAAAGGTCATTCCAGAGAGGTCGTTTGTTTTCGTTCTTGTGCTGTCCTGGGTGGGCGGGGCTCGTTCGCCCTCCTCTGTCCGACCCAAGCCGATTTAGAAACCCACACAGCTGAGGGGGGGGGTCACTCACCTTTGACCTTTTCTGGGAGAAAGAGAGAGTGAAGTCAGCAGACAGTGTGTGTGTGTGTGTGTGTGTGTGTGTGTCTGTGTGTGTGTGTGTGTGTGTGTGTGTGTGTGTGTGTACCTGTGTGTGTACCTGTGTGTGTGTGTGTGTGTGTGTACGTGTGTGTGTTCGTGTGTGTGTGTGTACCTGTGTGTGTGTGTGTGTGTGTGTACGTGTGTGTGTTCGTGTGTGTGTGTGTACCTGTGTGTGTGTGTGTGTGTGTACCTGTGTGTGTGTGTGTACCTGTGTGTGTGTGGTCCCAGATGTAGCTGTTGAGGATTTCCCCGAGCACGTAGAAGACACAGATCACCACCGTCATGGCGCTGAAGAAGACGACTCGAGCCAGTGGGGTGATGCGCTCCAGCACCGGGTACACCCACACACCTGTCACCTGGTGCACCCAGCACGTCCTGGGTGGGCGGGGCCACACAAAGTTCAGGTTCAAGTCTTTTAAACCACCTGCACCAACCTACACCTTCATTATCTCATATTACATGAAGCTACACCATGACCTGTGTGTGTGTGAAACAGGAAACATCAGGTACCAGAGGATGTATCCCACGCCGAAGCAGCACACCGCCGCCACGCCCCACGTCCTGCTGGGATACCGGTGGTGGGTGGTCCGCATCTCGATGATGATGAAGGGGAGAACGGTGGTGTGCTGAGAGACAGAAGATATGAGTAAATATTAATCCTTCATTCCTTACAGTTTGAGTTAAGGTTTCCTGAAAATGTTCACTGAAGTATTTAAGGTTTTTTCCTCATCTTGGTCTCATACTTAAGGAATCACTTAGAGTCAGTTAAACTCAGCGACCGGGAGAACCTGATGGACACCCTTACCCATCAGGAACTGATTGTACATTATAGATTTGATCGGCAGTCGGCAGGAAAATGGAAGCTGTAGGATTTTACCACCCTGAAATCTCTGAGCGAAGGAGAAATTCAACCTTCAGGGTCAAACTAAAGGAGAAGACTTTAGGTGTTTTGTGCAACCGGCTCCAGGTTCTGAACCTGGATTCTGGATCAAGATGAAGTGACTTTGGACAGACAGGAGGCGGAGCTGGAGGCGAGCTGTTCCTCAGTATCACTGTGATAAACTGTGTGTGGTAGTTATCATTAGGACTCAATAAAAGAAGAAACTGTTGAGACTGTGATGATGTGTGTGTGGAACTTAAAGAAGCCCTCTAGTGGCCATTACTGGTGCTGCACCTTAAACCCACAGGTTTTATTACTGAGCTGGAATATCTGACGTGTTTTATTATTTATTACTATTATTATATATCATTATTATAGAATATATTATATATATATATAAATAATGTAACAGAAGAATGAACATGAAGAGATTTTTGGCCAATGGATCAGTTTGTTCTCTCTTAATTATTCATTCACCTCTGTGTGTGTGTGTGTGTGTGTGTGTGTGTGTGTGTGTGTGTGTGTGTGAAAGAGAGAACATCTGTGTAACCCATCTAAACACACACACACACATTTAATGGAGGCCGTGGCCTGTGCAGCTATTTTCTGTGAAGCCGTTTCACACAAACAACTGTCAATCTGTGTCACTGTGACTTACACACACACACACACACACACACACACACAAAACCATAAACCTGTCTATATCCTCAACCTGCAACATCCTCTGTACACCTTAAACATCTGTCTTCAGTCAAACATCTGTATTTAAATGGATCAGAGTCTCCTCCAGATGCTGATGTTCAGTCTGCTTTTACATGAACTACTCTGTTTGTCCACT